CAGGGCTCCAGCAGGCCCCGCCCTCAGAGGGAGCGGAGGTTCCAGAGTCATGGCCCTGACAGGCCTTGAGTCATTGGCCTTCATCTTCAAAGTCCTTCCCAGAGCCTCTACGTATACTTCTCTCCCTGGCGGACTGGTGTAACCGCCAGGGCCTCAAAGCCTTTATTCTTGTTCTGGGAGATCTTGTACGTCACAGCAGCTCCCCAAGGAGGGCCCGCATCTCTGGGCTTTAAGGAAGTGCCCCTGGACCTCTTCAATGATGCCTGCAGGGGACTCCCGTGGCCCAGACAGGGCAGGACCTCTCCTGGCACCTGCCCACGGAACCCATAGGTCCTGAGACCGGGTATGACCTGGGCAACTGCCCTGGTTTCTCCAACGTGACTATGCCATGGGAAGGACGGCATAGACCTAGTTTAAGAGACCTAAGAGTTTTCACAGCCTAATGCAGCATGTGGATCTGGCTTGAATTCTAGTTTAAGTAAGCCAACCACAATAGACAGTTTTGTGACATTTGCAGAAACTTGAATACAGACTTGGTGTTAGACAATATTAAGAAATTGTTCATTTTGATGCTACAACAATGATATGGTCATGTAGAAAGCTTCTTATTCTTAGAGATACAAACTGAAGTGTTTAGGGTAAAATGTATATCCGTAGTTTGTTTCTAAATACTTAAGTAAAAATGTAGATGAAACAAATATAGCGAAATATTAATTGTTGTTAAATCTAGACAATGGGCATGAGGGATTTATTATACCATTGTCTCAATTTTTCTGTATGTTTAATCATTTCATAATTAAAATTTTTTAGCCCAGCCAATGTGGCTCAGTGGTTGGGCATCGACCTATGAGCCAGGAGGTCACTGTTCGATTCCTGGTCAGGGCACATGCCTGGTTGTGGGCAAGAGGCACCCAATCAATGATTCTCTCTCATCATTGATGTTTCTATCTCTCTCTCCCTCTCTGAAGTCAATAAATTTAAAAGAAAGAGGAGAAGGAAGAGGAGTGTATGTGACTCTGGACAAGATTGGAGCTGAGCATATCAGACCAGCCAGATGGCCTTAAACAGCAGTGCTGAGCCTAGGGAAGCCTTAGGACGAAGCTGCCTGTTCCTCTACGTCCTGAGTAAGCACTTGGAATGTGGAAGGGCCCCTTGGGCGGAGGGGAGGGGGCGGGAAGAGGGGGTTCCAGGACCACAGAGCTGGGTTAAGGCCTCACAGACTTCTGGCAGGGTCAGCCCTCTCCCAGGACAGGGCAGGAGACCCCAAAGTCAGCCTTGGAGCCTTCCCTCCTAAAGATCAGAGGCCCTGTTTTGACAGACTGTTCCTGGGGATGGCCTGCCGGGCTCTCCCAGGGCCGGTGCCCAGCGGTTATGGATTCCCGGTCCCCAGCTTTGGCTGCCTCCTCTCCAGGAGCCCCAGTCAGGCCCATGACACAGGAGGCCGCGCCTTGGGATGTGGTGCGTGGATTTGGAGCAGAAAAGCTGAGGACCTGGCCTAGAGGCCCCCAGGAAGCCAGAGCCTGAGCTCCCTGCAGTGCAGCCAAGCATGAGCGAACCCTTCTATGTCTGCAAAAATCAAGCAGTACAATCCTTCCCAGAGGTCAGCATTGGCCCCTGTGAGCGCAGGGAAAGTCACCGCTCCTCCCAGGTAAGGGTGGGCTTGCCAAGCTGGGTCTTCACAGGAATAGCCAGGGCACCCTGACCCTCGCTTATTACCCTTCTTTTTTTTATTTCATTTTTTAAAATATATCTTTACTAGGGGCCCAGTGCACGAATTCGTGTCCCTTGAAAGGAACTGTAGGCAGTAAGGCTGTGGTAGGCACAGGGGCAGGTCTCGGCCCATCCTCCATGACCCCACCTGGCTCCTCCGGCTGCAGCCCCCTGGCCCCTGTCTGCCACCGCAATCGCCCCTCAGGATCTGGGGGAGGTGGAGAAGCCCCCACTGCTCGCACCCGCTGATGGCACCAAGGGATCAGGACTGGCACCAGCAGTGGGTGCAAGCGGGGCCAGCGCTGACAGCAGGTGCAAGTGCCAGGCGGGACGGCTTTGCATGGGAGCAAAGAATTTTCAGTAACCACCAGAGGCTCGCCCCAATGACAGCGACCGGTGCCCCACCTTGGTCTGGTGCCCCTGCTCCACCATCCCACTGCAGCCAACAACCGCCATGTTCTGCACACGCCCCCTGGTGGTGAGCGCACATCATAGCGACTGATTGTTCGGATGTTCAGTTGTTCTGCCATTTGGTCTATTTGCATATTAGCCTTTTATTATATAGGATTGATTTCAGAGAGAGGAAAAAAGGGGGAGAGAGAGATAGAAACATCAATGATGAGAAAGAGTCATTGATAGACTGCCTCCTGCACGCCCCACACTGGGGATGGAGCCCACACCCCGGGCATGTGCCCTGAAACTGTGAGCTCTGGGTTCACAGGTAGCCGCTCAACCACTGAGCCACACCAGCTGGGCGACAAAGGTCAGTCTCTACCTTAACTGAGCCTGTCTGCTGTCCTTCTGCATCTGTGATACAGACCTTTGGAATGTCAGCGTAATTTCCTTTTTCCAGACCCCTCAGGGCAGATCTCAGGGCCAGAGCAGAGAGCACAAAACCCCTCACTGTTATTGTTATCGTGTTAATTAACTGTTAACTACCCTAGAATCACAAATGTAAGAGTGTCTATTCCTTTTACTTTTTATCCAATCCCAGAGATTCCCCTTTCCCCACGCCCACCCGACCCTTTGCCTTCTCCTGCCTCCCTAATCTACCACCAGTGGATTTCTTGTATCTCCCTTTTGCCTCCTCCTTTGATTGTAATGCATAAAATAAGGTGCAGAGCTGCCATTCCCTGGAGCACTTTCGTAATCCTTTGAGAGTTTGCTTACCGGCAATTGTCGTCAGTTTGGCTCAAATAAACTCACAAAAATTCTTACAGGTTTGGACGTTTCTTACGTGGACATCAGAACGCTTTAAATTCCTACGTGGTTCTTTTTCCTGAGGCTCTGTGGTTCTGGGAAGCTTTACTCATAATTCTGCTCCTAGTACCACCTCTGCAGCCTGAACAGGTCCCTGGGCACTGGGCCCAGCGACAGGGCCAGGGCAGAGCAGGGAGCAGAGGGTGAGGCCCTGGGCTGGCAGAAAGAGCCTGGCTCACAGCGTGTGCCCAATCTGACTCTGCCTGGCCCAGGGCAGGGGCTGGCGCTGCGAGTCCCAGGGCAAGAGTCAGCCTTCTCCCAAGTCAGGCTGAGGAAGAGCAATTACACCCATTTCCTCTGGGAAGAAAAAAGAATGGATTCAATTCCGTGTCTGTGGCCTGGTCCAGCCCACGATTCAGTGGTTGTGGGGCAGGGCAGCAACGGCTACAGGGCCAAGTGCATAGGTACCACCAAAGTGCCCAGGTGCCAACCTCCTGCCAACCACAGGAATATTACCCCTCCACCCCCACCCCTTCGGGGCAGCCCCGGAAACTGCACCCGGGACCACACAGGGGAGTGGACATCCCATGAGACACCCTCCTCCTCGCAGCACCTGGAAGGAGACTTGGGGGGCGGGGGGTTGCCACTGAGGGAGAAGAAAGAGGCTGAGCCTATCTGTACAGGCTCCTCCATGAAAAGGAGGGGGTCACCCCTTGCCAGCTCTGCTCAGCCCCGGGCGATCCTGTGTGCCTCCTTCCCCTGCCCTGCCTCTACTAAATCATTTCAGTTAAGCTGTCACCATTATGGAAGCTGCCCCGAAGTCCCTAATGGGGTCAGAGCCCCTGCTCTGCCTCTTCCTCCTCATGGGGACAGATGGGGCCAATGGCCATTGTTCTCAGGCTGGTGTGTTAAGTCGCCCTGTGCTTCGCTGAAAGATAAATTGTGTGTCTGCCCCGAGGGAGGATGGTCACGTGGCTAATGCCTCTGCTTAAAGCCCATTTAGTGAGGAGCCCGCTCGAGGTTGTTTGTTTTTTTTTATGTTTTCAATATATTAAAAAGTAACAGTATGAAAATGCTATAGTTATTAAAAAGGATTCAAATATATCAAGGAGTGAATTTGTATAAAGTTCTACAATTAAAGGGAAACATCTTGATACATAAAAGTTTTAACAGGATTTAAACATTTTAAAATCAGAAAGTGTGTAAGATTTAACTCTTTCAAATGTTCAAACAGAAAGACAACATGCATAATCCCTATAATACAACGTGTCCTTGCACACATACCCTGAGTAATAGGCAGCACTTAAAGGCTTTGTGAACCTTTTCCCAAACAAGCATCCTTTCACAAATCATTTTATCTGACTCTGCATTTGCATTTTTATTCTTCCTAAAAAGGAGAATTTACACTAACACTGAATTTTTAATTAAAAAGAAAAAACATTTACAGATACTTAACTTCCTGAGTGACTTCAGTTATTCAGTCAAACATGGTTTAATGAGAAAATTCTAATATTATTTAACGAAATAGGAAGTGTAGATTTACACTTGATATCCAATTAGGGCAAAACTCAAAGAGCATGTCACAGACCTTATACACCTACATTCTCTATGAAATTAAACAATATGATTATTCTCAAACTTTATCAATAATCTTTCTCAAATGTTAGTAAAACGAATCATTGAAATTACATTTTCTCATTTGTTCACAAAATACTACTGTATTTTAGACTACCAACTTGAATGTTTTCTATTATATACACAAAATGTGATTCACTAATAAGCAGGTTCTTGCAATACAATAGAGAATAGATCATTAAAATATTTGCTTTATGATACAACCAATACATATAACACGTGCCTTCCTCAATTTCTAAAACGATTAGAAATTGCTGAACTTTCTTTTGCGCATTGAACGCTTTCCTCTTCATGAAACCCTGAGGTGAAAGGTTATTAATGTAAAAACAGTAATCACAAGTCTTCTCATTTCTGTATTAGACTATAGATAGCTACATGTTTTAAAAATTTATAAAGAAATGTGGGATCTTATAAAACTGCTCTGTACAGTTTTAACAAAACATTCCCAGACCAACTCAGCCCGAAGGGCCTAGGATGACCCTATAAAAACAATGTCCTTTGAACACTTGTTGGTTTCGAGATGAATGCCACTTTCCAGCTCTACTGCTGTCTCTCCTGTTATCGTGGTCATGGCTCCAGCCATTGTGATTCCTGTCTTCATAGAAGTAATCAACTCTGTGTCCTCTGTAATGCTGCTCACGGCTATAGTGTCTGTCTGCTAGGTAGGGATGAGAACTCTGCCTGGCTTTACGCAGTGATGATGGTGTATCTTGACGCCACTGGGAGCTTGAAGACTGGTTATAACTATGATTATGTGACTGAACTGATGGGGAAAATCCTGATTGATCAAGATGTGGAGAACCAAATTTCCCGCCATATGACATCTGTCTCAAAACGTTGTTCATCACTGCTTGTTTCTGAAAATTTTCTGGAGAAGAGAAAGATCTCTGAATTATCTGTGGTGATGGAGTCATGTTATCCATAGTCCTTTCATGTCTGTTAGGAGATGTGGAGGTAGGGCTTGAATTTCCAACATGATGCTGGGAATATGACAAACTAACATCCTGTGAGGCATGGCTACTTCCTGATCTAAACTGAATGTTGATGGGCCTTCCAAAAAGTTTTATTCCATTAAGTAGATTCATTGCATAAGGAACAGACACTTCATGTTTGAAATTCATAAATGCAAACTGCTTGGGTTTGCCATCCTTTGGAATTTTCACTTTTATTACTGACCCCGCCTGGTGGAAAAGCTCGAAAAGGAGCTCCTGGGTCACTTTAGTTTCTAGGTTGCCCACAAAGAGAGTGCAATCCACCGCCGCCGCCGCCCCCATCTCAGCGTCGCCCCCTCCCGTGCGAGGCTGAGGGGTCCTCGCCGACGCTCCCACTCTCTCCCACTCTCGAGGTTGTTTTTTAATAGATAGATTAGGGAGGAATTCAAAAAAGACAAAAGGGCACAGTAATTGGGTTTCCCCTTGGCCTACAAGTTTGTCCTCAGACAAAGTAGTCAAAAGGGCTAGGGCTCGCTTGGTTTGCTCAAACTGTTGTCTGGGAGAGAGGGAGAGTCAGCAAGGGGGAGAGAAGGTGCACTCCGGGCCATGAACCTGTTGGGACAGAGCCCAGCGCTCCATCCCTTTCACATGTCAGTGAAAGTATTCTGTAGGCTGCCTGAGCCCCGGGGTCATGCGGGTCCCACAATCCTCACTCCAGAATCCATGCCACGCCCTGCCCGGTCCCAGATGTCAGGCTGAGGCCTTGAGCAAACCGAGATGCTGGACAGCAGCCCCCGGGCCTGTCCTGTAAGTGCAGAGAGTTGGACCAGCCAGACACCCCACCCGAGAGGTGGCATGTGAGCAGGGTCGAGGGTCCCGCATAGCAAACGACCAGGTCTCAGCAGCAGCGAGCCCTGCTTCCTGCCCAAGAACCTCAGGGCCAAGGAGCTCCTACTCCGATGCATGACCTGGGCAGGAGCCTTGGCCGTTCAGGCCTCAGTCTCCCTAGCTGCACAACACAAAGAGGGGGGGGCCGTGGGGACAGGCCTCCCTCATCTGCCTGATAAAAAACTGCACCGAAAACTTTCAAATGCAGCCAATCTGTCAACACTTTCTGAGAAGCTGGGGATGGAGGGGGGTGGGGGGCCTCTCAAATCTATCAGCTCCAACTGGCCCTCCCTCACACAGGCAGGCACTGCTGCTGGGCTGTACACTTCCCTCTGGGCGTGCTCCCTGCCCCCACCCCACAGGCCTGGGAGTGGGTGCCGGTGGGAAGGCCGGGCGGGGCTGCAGGCTGAGAGGCTGCCATCTGTGGGCCACAGCCCCTCGCCCAAACGCCTGAATTCTTAAGTGTCCTTCCTTTCCTAAGGGGTGCCAGAAAACATGGCCGCCAAACCGTGACCTCAAAAGCACAGAACTGGGGGGGCCCGGGTGTCCACAGCCCCAAGTTCGGGCCGGATCCTTCTCAAAAGTCAGCCTCCTCCTGTTCAATCACCTCCCCCCACACCCCTCCTCTCCCTCTCCTCACCCCTCCCCACCCCCCAGCCAGCTGTTCAGGGGCAGCTTTAAACTGGCTGCTCAGACTCTTAGAGCCGAAGAAAGCGCTCAGGAGTTAGAAATCAGTCCCACTGAGCCCCTTAAAAGAGGGGGCTCACAGAACATAGGGCTTTCCAGAGGGGAGACCCTGTATAGACACTTCTCCGTGGCTCCCGCGATAGGCCGTGGGACTCCCCCAGGCGCCTCATTGATTGCCCTGTCCAGACTGCCTCCTTCCATGAGCCCACGTTGGAGACCAAGGCAATACTCTGATGCCTCAGGCAGGGGGCCTACCCTGCCATAGTTGGGAAGCCCTGGTCTCTGGCCCTTTATCATGGAAGGACCAACCAGCCAGAAGTTCAGCTGCACAGGGTCCGAGGCCTGGGCCCATTAGCAGGATGTGAAAGCCGGCTCCCAGGCGAGGGCCCTGGGGGTGGGGGTGGGGGGGTCTGATGCTCTGTGCCCACAGGAGACTCCGTTATTTCTCTGCCTCAACCCAGCATCTCTAGGAGTAAAGCCCGCAACCCCTCGGGAGGGGAGGGGCGGGAAGGGGCAGGGCGTGAGGTCAGCTGAGCCGCTACGTGGCCAGAAACAGGCCGGGCAGTACACGGGCAGAGAGCCGAGTGCCAGGGCAGCCACGGGCCCAGCTGCTCATTGCTGTTTCACACTTAATTACAGAGTGGGAGCTAAAGTGCACGTCTGGCCCAGAAATGGCTGTTTCCTCCAAAGCAGGTTGTCTGAGGAAGTTCCCTGTCTCCACCAGCCCAGGCAGCTGGAGGGTTGCTAGCTAACAACCCCCAGACAAGAGTCTGATTGCATTCTTATCCAGGGGTGGGGGGAGGAGGCAGAAGCAGAATTAGTGGGTTCCTCTGCCTGGGGCCAGCCCTTGGGAACCCGTGCATTCTTATCCCAGGCCTGGGGGGTGGGGGGAGGAGGCAGAAGCAGAATCAGTGGGTTCCTCTGCCTGGGGCCAGCCCTTGGGAACCCCATCAGGTCTCTCTCCTGCATGAAGGCCAAGTTTCCACGCCAGCTGGGGCTGGGGGTGCTGTCAAGAGCCAGGCCCAAGCGTCGCTCTCCGCTCGCTGAGCCTGAACCCCGCATGAGTCCAAGTCTCCTCCCCCCAAGGTTAAAGGTTCTCCAGAGAAAGTGCCGACAGACACCCTGCGAACTGATGGGCACTCCGGTTTCCTCTTTGCCATCTCAGGAAGGCCAGGGCCCTAGCAGGAGAGACCAAAGCAGCCTCGGAAGAGAATGGACATGTTCGCGGTCTGGGCTAGGTGCTCAGGCAGACAGGAGCCTTTCAGCAGTGGCTGGGGTCCGGGCCTCCTGGCCGCGCTGGGAGGAAGCGCTGTGGTTTCTGCCTTTGCTGATGCTGCAACAGCCAAGGAGCAGTTTAATTTGCCCCTTGGGCACAGCCTTGGTCTTGGGAGCCAGGCTGTACTCTGGTGGGTTCCATGTCTGCCTTTTAAAGATGAGCCAGCTGCCCTAGCTGGTTTGGCTCAGTGGATAGAGCATATGCCTGCAGACTGAAGGATCCCGGGTTCGATTCCAGTCAAGGGCACATGCCTGGGTTGCAGGCTCAATCCCCAGTAGGAGGCGTGCAGGAGGCAGCCAATCAATGATTCTTTCTCATCATTGATGTTTCTATCTCTCTCTTCCTCTCCCTTCCTCTCTGAAATCAATAAAAAAATTTAAAAAAATAAAAAAATAAAAAATAAAGATGAGCCAGGGTCCCGCTGATCAATGTATCCCTCAGAAGTCCTGTTCCGTGCAGGCCCACTTCCTGCCCTGGACCGTGAAGGGCTGGCCTGGGATCCTTGCAGAGTTCTAGTTGCACCATTCCAGGTCTGTTTTCCACTTATGGAAAGTTCCAGAACAGTATGACCAGACATTGAGACACACACACATCAGGACACATACCACACACGGATCTCGAGTTTGCAAGGCCGTTCGCATTTTGAAAAGCATTTTCTTTCCTTCTTTGGGACCGAGGCCAGCTTCTGCTCACTGTTCCCAGAAAAACAAGCAGAGTCACACAGAGGCTATTGCCTCCCCCTTGATGTACTGCTTTCCTTAAAAAGAAAAGGAACTTGGAGCAATGTATTCTCAACAGTGAAAAATGCTGCCTCTTTCCCCCAAGTAGCAGGCTTGATTCTGTTCAATATTCGAGGCGCCAAATGTGCCGAAATTTCGTAAAGAGATGAAGGGAACAGCTCCCTCTCATTTCCAGGTTGGCCCAATGAATCACATCACAGAGGAAAGCAATGAGGCTCCCCCCCAACAAAAAAAAGAAAAAGAAAAAGGCCACAGGCCACTTCTCGGGACACCCAGCCCAACCCTCCCAGGTTAGTTCAAGGTCTTCTTAGGGACACAAGTTTTCACAGAAAGCTGAGTGACAGAACACATTAAAATGGCAGGTCAAGCCTAACTCCTGTGGCTCAGTGGTTGAGCATTGACCTATGAACCAGGAGGTTGTGGTTTAATTCCCAGGGTCAGAGCATATGCCCGGGGTTACAGGCTCAGTCCCCAATAGGGGGCGTGCAGGAGGCAGCCAATCAATGTTTCTCTCACATTGATGTTTCCAGCTCCCTCTCTCTCTCTCTCTTTCTCTCTCTCTCTCTCTCTCAAAATCGATAAAAACCTATTTTAAAAAGTAAAATAAAATAAAATGGCAGGTCAAGGCCAGGATGAAGGGTCACCATGGTCATGGGGCTTTGTTGTCCTGCAAACAGATAATAGAAGACCTGTCAGAGGCGAGAGGTCACTTCAGGTTGGAATTTTCAGGGAATCATTTTGGCTGGCCTGAAGGATGTGCACTAGTTAGACCAGTCAAGAGAAGTGGAAAAGGCATTCCAGGAGAGGGTCTAGCATGAGCAAAGGCAAGGAGACCCGGATGATTAGAAGGTCCCCTAACTTTGGGGTTCAGTGAGTGGGCCAGTTGGACCACAAAGGAAAGTTTTATGGGGAATAGTAGGAGAAGAGGGGGTGAACTTTATCCAGGAGGCAATGGGGATAGAAGGGGAGAATTACAGATTTTTAAGTAGGAAAGAAATACAACCAACTAATATTTAAGACAATAACTCTTAAGACGTTGGCAGGTAGCCTGAAGGGGCCAAAGTCATCAATCACTCTCACACACAAATCATGCTCCAGAAGCTTTCCCATAAAGTTCCTGGGTGTCCCCAGCCCCATGCGGTTACAGCCAAGGCCTGCTTGGACCTAGTAGGAAAGATGAGCAAACTCCTAAATCATACTCCTCTTTCTAACGGTTTTTATTGGCCTATTCATAATTTTCATTGAACTGGTATGGAAATTAATGCCTAGTTATTTTTTCCCAAAATTTTAAACCAAAGTCTGGACCTCAAAGCTATCATTGTACTTTTTATTGTGATTGGTTTGATATCAACCTCCCCTACAAGATAGGAAGCTCCTCAAAATGCAGAAACGATTTGATTCACCTCTGTCTGCCTAACCCCCACCACAGAGGCTGGCATATAGAACTAAAGAGATGACCAATTTGTAGAATCAGGTAATAATATCTCCACTACCATGCTGTTTACTCTAGTCAAGGCATTATGAATGACTTATTGTGCTTTAGGGGTTAAACTATAAAGGCGAATATTCTTCATTTACCTTAAAAATAATCTTGGACTGTCAGGCCCTCTAATTTGGAAATTATTGTTTAATATTTTTTTTTTGCAGTTAATCTCTTTTTTAAAAATGTGTTTTTATTGATTTCAGAAAGAGAAAGGGAGAGGGAGGGAGAGATAGAAATATTGATGAGGGAGAAACATGGA